CATTAAAGATTTTTATGTTGCAGTGCAACACCCTGAGTTTGGTCGTATGTTCTTGTTTCCTCTTCCTTATACTACTATTTTGGTGGTACGTATGTCTACTAATGGCATTAAACATTATGGACTCAGTTGAGAATGATCTTGAAGTTTTTGAAGCCTTCGTTCTTAGTTCACACTTTTAAGTGTGAACTAAGAACGAAGGCTTCAAAAACTTAAAATTCTTGATGTTAACCAAACGTTTAAAAAATGACAAGACATTTTGCCGACCGCATGCACCGATGAGTGCAAAGAGGACTGGGTGTCTTTGTCTAAATTGTTGTCTCCGGCATTATATATTAGGCCGAACGAGTTGACCAAAGTATTGGGCCGAGTTGACCATACTGGGTGTTTGGCAGAGTTGATCCTGACCAGGGAGTTGGAGCGAGTTGGCAATAGTCCGAGTCGTCCGACATTCACCTCAGACGCATTACCGAACACTACTGACATTGGTGCGCTCCGATTTGCTCTGGCTCATGCTAGTCAGCCCCCTTGCGAAACTTGTACGTGAAACATACAATATGTATGTATACTATCAACGGCAGAGCTGGCAGTCTGTTACACCACATCTCTTTTTACCAGTTCTGGCCTGTCAAACAAATGCAGTTTTTCAACAACCTTGTACATTTCGACAGGAGTTGCAGCCTTTGGTTATACATGATGTACATGTATAACCAATGTTATACATGTACTTTTGGGTCAACTCAACTGAATTAATGTGAAGTAGCCTGTAGGGAAATGTGACGAAAAATGAAGTGTGGGCTCTTCAATTGGGTCAAATGGTCTGACTTACAAAATAAAACTACCTCTGCATTTGTTTTAATTTTGATTAACTTACAAAAAAACTACCACTGTATTTGTTTTAATTTTAATTAAAACAAATACAGCGCGGTAGTTTTTTTGTAAGTCAGACCCAACTTACTGCATTGCGCAGGTGCAAAGAAAGGCTCGTCTCTTCTCGGAAAGTGGAAGGGTGGTTTTCTTGTTGTGACGCTTCAGTAGTTTGGGGACAACTCACTGTGGGGTCAACTCAACTGAATTAACGTGAAAGAGCCAGATATCTTTTTCTGCATGCAGGACCTTGATGATATCGTATACTTAATTGCCGTAAAGCAGTAGGTCATTTTCAACCGTGATATTGTGCAGTCGAAGTCTTGACTTGCTGAAATCCCAGGAGTTCCTCGGTGATTGTCCAGTTCCTTCAGACTGTACGAGTCCGAGATTGGCCTAAAATGGCGACGGAAGTAGCCGCAACATCACCCCAAGGCCCCCCCCCCCCAAGACAAAGACGTGTCTTCCGTAAGGTCCAAGAAGCCAGGGAGAAGACTCCAAATGTTTATCATTGGCCTGGTCTTCTTTGCTACCATCCATTTCCTTCTACAGGGGTCACCAAAGTATGTTTGTTTCTTTTACTAATACATGTATGCATTTTATAAGATTCTACCCTTAGGAAAAGACATTAGAAGTTTCAAAACACAGAGCTCCAAACCCTAGCCTGGGTACCATCCTACTTGTATGCCGGGGCTCCCTACTTGTATGCCGGGGCTCCCTACTTGTATGCCGGGGCTCCCTACTTGTATGCCGGGGCTCCCACACTCGCTTCCCTAACAAGTACTTGTTAGGGAAGTGAGTGTGGGAGCCCCGGCATACAAGTGGGATGGTACCCAGGCTACCAATCCCCGCAGGGATGCACCAAATAGTTGCACATCACTACATGTAGTGACTACAACTGTGTATATTGGTAATATCCCAAGGATGTTAAACTTTTAGTTGTAGAAACGTTCCAAACACACAGTAGCTTAGAACCAAGGCCAGTCACGTTTGTTGCATTGAACATAGGTTGTTTTGTACTTAGTTTGCATGTCTGACACATTTTCAAACTCCTGCTAGACTGGAGGTACAAACAAACGTAAAGCCGCCCGGTCCTCGCTACATCCACCGCAAAGACACGACCAGAGTTCAGTCTGACAGTACTCCCGCCAGTAGAACAGCTCGTCCGGCAACGTTCTCCACACCACCTGTCTCTGTGGCACCGTCGGACTCCTGGACATTCAATGCTGAAGAGATTAGAAAAGTCAGGTCAGTAATGACATTACATTGGATGTACCGTCATTCAAACTGTTCCTGTAGATGGTCAACCGGTTCTTTCATAATTCGACCATGGTGTACCATGGAGGTAGCCTCCATGGGTGTACCAAGTTCTTTTCGTAAAATCTTGAAAACAAAATATTTATTCTGGACTTTGGCCAGTGACCCCAAACTTAATTTTAGGTGAAGATTCTTATGTCAAAATGCTGTCGGAACGATTTTTTTAAAAACAGAAGATGCTAAGTAGAAATAACAGAGTATTCCATTTTCAGAAATGCTACTGCCATGCTGCATCCCAACGCGAGGCTTCGGACACACAAGTTGGGAATCTGGCCCTGTCAAAAGAAAAGGAGGAGAAGGCGAAATTCTTGCCGCCCGGCGCCGTTCAAGCATAACGTTAGTCTTCAAACAACGTGCGCAATCGTAGGCAACGGAGGTATCCTATTGGGAAGTCACTGTGGTTCTGAAATCAATTCTAAGGACTACATCATACGAATGCACCTCTCGGCGATTAGGGGGTTCGAAAGAGACGTTGGAAGAAAGACTAACATGACAATTTTAAACGTCAGCACTCCCAGGCGGATAAAAAGTTCATCTGGATTGGAAAACAGGACTCAGGATGTGTACGAGAGTCGAATGATAGACATCAACGGTACAGTTCTAGTTTCAACTGCAAGAGATAAATTTTTACTGAAACTGGCATTGAAAAAGTATCAAAATCTTTCGTTCGTCTTGTTGACCAGCAAGGATAGTTTTAGAGATGAATCTCTAATTCACAGGTAAGTTGGAATTTCACAAGCATGTGGATGTCTTCATTTTTTAAATATATTTTCCTTGATTTCGTCTCCTTGCAGGATCAGTTAGAAGCATCTTTCGGGCAAATTCGGGGAAAACGCCAAATAAACATTGCACCTACAAAAGTATATAATACACCAATATCTGGCGAAAAATATGGCAACCATCCGGAGTATAAGGAAGGCTATGATCATTACAACTCAACAATTTTCTCTACCTTTTTCTTTCAAATCTCAGGGTCGCGTCGGATGTCGCGTGGAACAATGGCACTAAGCCCAGAGGTCCTCCTTCCACTGGTCTGGCGACAGTTCTCACCGCCACTACGTTCTGTGACCAGCTGCATCTGTACGGCTTCTTTCCCTTCAAGCAGGATAAAAACAAGAAGCCCTTACCTTATCACTACTACCCCGGGGATTTTATCGAGCCGGTTATCCAGGAAAGAAAACACAAAATGGGTAAAGAATATCGGTTCTATAAAGAACTCCAACAACGGGGAGTTTTAAAACTACATATAGGGAAATGTGACGAAAAATGAAGTGTGAGCTCTTCAATTGGATCAAACGTTACATATATATGTTAGGCCACACCAAGTAAATTTTATGGATGACGTCCTTTGGAGACCCTAAATCTAATGCGAGAGGGCGAAAAAAAAACAAGAAGGGCCCTAAAAAACAAGATGCCTAGATTAGAAATATACTAAGAGACGACAAATGTTAGGACACAAAATGAATGAGGTGACACAGTGTAGCAAGCAAGAAGTCTTTTCTTCTTCATCAAAACAGCAATAAATCAGGTGGAACAGTGGACCGTGAAAAATTTTCTGTTATTGACAGGATGGTCCTGTCAATAGACACTTTCTTCGCGTTGCGGGTTTCACGTCAATCTGACGATTTGCGACACTGTCGTGACTCTTTGGTCATAGTTACAGGAAGCAAAATTTCTTGTTTTTTTTTCTAGGTAAGAGGCCAAAATCAATGCGCGCGAGGACGTCATCCATAAAATTTACTTGGTGTGGCCTTAGCAAACGTTACATATATATATTAGCAAGTAAGCAACTTACTCACTGTTGTACAAGACGGTGTATTGATTTTT